CAGCTTCCTGTGTAGCTGGGGGCTGTAGGCATGCACCATCACACCCGGTTAATTTTTTAATTTTTTGTAGAGACAAGGTCTCACTATGTTGCCCAGGCTATTGATAAACTCCTGGCCTCAAGCCATCCTCCAGCCTCACTATTTAAAAAAGAAAGCTTGTCTGACATGATGGCTCACGCCTGTAATCCCAGTACTTTGGGAGGCCAAGGTGAGAGGATTGCCTGAGCTGTAGAGTTTGAGACCAGCCTGGGCGATATGGCAAGATGCCATCTCTACAAAAAATTTTAAAAATTAGCTGGGCATGGTGGTACATGCCAGTAATCTCAGCTACTTAGGAAGCTGAGGTGAGAGGATCACTTGAGCCCAGGAGGTTGAGGCTGCAGTGAGCCATGTTTGTGCCACTGCATTCCAGCAACAGATTAAAACCCTGTCTCAAAAAAATAAATTAAAAAAAAAAGTTAGAGTTTTTCAGTTACTTTTTTTCATTTATGCAAGGAATATAACCATATTACCACATAGTTTTATATTTCCTAGTTATTTGCAGCATATTTGGAAAATAGGAAAATAAAATTTATCAATGATCCTACCAACCTAATATAGTTGCTTTTTAGGGGATTAATTTTCTTATCCATCTTTTTTAAAAGAAAGTTGTAATTATAGTTACAGGTATAAAGTAAAAATTTATAATACTTTAATAATATAAATAAGTGCTATAAAGACATAAAAGGCTGGACACGGCGGTTCACACCTGTAACCCTAGCACTTTGGGAGGCCGAGGTGGGTGGATTGTCTGAGCTCAGGAGTTTGAGACCAGCCTGGGCAACACGGCAAAACCCCATCTCTACTAAAACTACAAAAAATTACAGGCACATACCACCACACCCAGCTAATTTTTGTGTTTTAGTAGAGATGGGGTTTCACCATGTTGGCCAGGCTGGTCTCAAACTCCTGACCTCAAGTAATCCATTCGCCTCAGCCTCCCAAAGTGCTGAGATTACAGGTGTGAGCCACTGTACCCGGCCCTTTCATGTAAGAATTTTTGAGTGTTTATTTCTGAATCATTATTTTCAGCCATTCCACTATTAATAACCCTTTAAAAGTTGTTTAAAATGGCTCATGGAAGACTTCAGAATTTCAGGTAATTATCTAGTTGCTATTAGTTGGGTCCAGTTGTGCTTTGTAGTTTGGAGAAAGAGGAGGGCTTTAGAAACTTTGGCTCCTTTTAAGCTTTTGTCAGGACAGAAGTAGGGGGAGTCTTGGGGAGCCCCTTGCTCTGTGGGGTCAACCAAAGGCCTATAATTCTCAAAAAGTATATGCTTGTTTTATTTTCTCGTTATTTTTTCTTCTCTTCTCCCGACATTGTAGGCTTACAAAAAGGTAGCATGTAACATAATAAAAAGAATGTTAAATTTAAAGCTGGTATATTTTTATTTTTGGTAACTGTGAACTAATTGTTTTAGAATATCATAATTAAAATAGTTTGTCTTCTCTGTAATTTCTTAATTTTTGTAGTATTTCCTTATTACTTGTCAAATAAATTATAATTTTCACAGAACTATGAATTGTACATTGTTGAATGCATAATTATGCATTGTAATGCTCTTTTGCATCTTCTCTTTTCAAAGGTTTTCTTATTGTCCACTTGGCATATGCTTCTGGAATAATATTCACCATGGTTTTGGATGACCTTCCAAACTTGGAAGACATCTATACTTCCTTGTGTACATCAACAATGGAAGACTCAGAGATGGATTTTGACTCTGGACTAGAAGATGATGACACAAAATGTGATAGTATTTTGGAGGATTCCACAATTTTTGTGGCCTTCAAAGGAAATATAGATGATAAAGACTTCAAATGGAAATTAGATGCAATATTGAAAAATGTACCCAATTTGTTACACATGGGTAATTTGCTTTAATTATTTTTCCTTCTTGTTACTGTTTTTGAAATGTTTGTCCTTCCATGGCAAAGTAAGTTTGCTAAATTGGATCAAAAGGCTGAATTTAAGTGCAAAAGTGGAATTTTAGGATTTTTATATAAATGTTTTCTTCCTTTTAAGTATGTAAAAGAACTGAACATAATAAAGTATTGCTTATCATGGAAATTCTTAAATAATCTACTCTAGTGGATAAAAGTAATTCTCAAGACCCAAATTTATTTGTTTTTAACTCTCTGATCTTCATTTTCCTTACCTATAAATTAAAAAGGTTAAACTGAATCTTTAAGGACCCTTAAAACTTAGAAAACTTATTCCATGGGTCTGCTTGTAATGTACTTTAAATTTATTCCCTTAGCTTTTATATCAGAAGTCACTCGCTGACAGCTTGCTGGATCTGGTCTGCAGCCGTATGTTATTTGGTCCATGATAGTGTTTGAGATTTAGTTTGTTTTTTAATGTTTCAGGCTTGCAGTAATGCTAAAATGTAGTGTTTTCATGTCCTAACTGAAGCTTAGTTGTCAGTTTTTTTGTTTTGAGATAGAGTCTCGCTCTGTTGCCCAGGCTAGAATGCAGTGACATGATCTCGGCTCACCACAGTCTCCGCCTCCCAGGTTCAAGCAATTCTCCTGCCTTAGCCTCCCGAGTAGCTGGGACTACAGGCATGCGCCACCGTGCCTGGCTAATTTTTGTATTTTTAGTAGAGACAGAGGTTCACTATGTTGGCCAGGCCAGTCTTGAACTCCTGACCTTGTGATCTGCCTGCCTCAGCCTCCCAAAGTATTGGGAAAACAATATAAATTTGACAGCTAGGCACCCAGCCTAGTTGCCTCCCTGTCTCTGTGACTATCTTGCACAAAGATGCCTGGTGAATATTTAAATATGAGTATCAAAATTTCAAATACGCCAGGCACAGTGGTTCATGCCGGTAATCCTAGCACGTTGGGAGGCCAAGGGGGGGGCAGATCACTTGAGATCAGGAGTTTGAGACCAGCCTGACCAACATGGAGAAGCACCATCTCTACTAAAAATACAAAATTAGCTGGGCGTGGTGTACATGCCTATAATCCCAGCTACTTGGGAAGCTGAGGCAGGAGAATATCGCTTGAACCTTGGCGGCAGAGGCTGTGGTGAGCCAAGATTGTGCCATTGCCTTCCAGCCTGGGCAACAAGAGCGAAACTCTGTCTCTAAATAAAAAAATACAAAATTTCAAATATTTAATTTGGAGGTATAAAATTGCTTGACACTTTACAAACTGTTAGGAATAAATCTATTGTTTTCCTTTTTAGTGCCCTTTCTTTAACTGTAGTAGATTATAGCTGTGGATTCTCTAATATCCTGTAGTTGTCATATCTGCATCCAGAATTTTTATAGAATTTCACTTGAAATTTGGGACTCACATGTTCTCAGTTTCTCAATTTGCATGCATTTAACTGAGCCTAGAAGTAAACATTATTCGGTTTGTTTGTTTATTTAGAAGGAGGTCTCACTCTGTTGCCCAGGCTGGAGTGCAGTGGCGTGATCTTGGCTCACTGCAGCCTCTACTCCTGGGTTCAAGTGATTCTCCTTCCTCTGCCTCCTGAGTAGCTGGCATTACAGGCATGTGCCAGCATACCCACCTAATTTTTTATTTTTAGTAGAGACAGGGTTTCTTCATGTTGGTCAGGCTGGTCTTGACCTCCTGGCCTCAAGTAATCCGCCCACCTCGGCCTTCCAAAGTGTTGGGATTATAGGCATGAGCCTATTCTATTAATTTAAACTTAACCTCTCTCTTCTTCCTTATGGTCCTTTCTCCTTCTTGTTGCTTTCCATTTATTCATTGCCTGTGGTGTGCCAGGTACTGTGTTAGGTTTTTGCATGTATTATCTCATTTATACCCAAAATCTCATGAAGTAGGTTTTTCATAGTTTCAGAGAAGAAAAAGATAAGTTTCAGAAAGGTTAAATAGCTGGTTCATGGTCACCCAGGTGCTAAGCAGCAAAGCTAGGATTATATTTGAAATCTGTAGCTACAAAGCATATGCTCTCTTAGCTATTCCAAGCTGGTGCTCCACCTTATTCTTTTGCTCTTTTGGTTTGTTTTTTAATTCCATGTCCTCTGGTGGCTAAAAGATTACTAATATAATTCTTTTTCTTTCACAATTAAGAGTCCAGCAAGCTAAAAGTACAGAAGGTGGAGCCCTGGAACAGTGTGCGTGTGACATTCAATATCCCCCGGGAGGCAGCGGAGCGGCTACGGATCCTTGCTCAGAGCAACAACCAGCAGCTTCGGGATCTAGGGATTCTCTCCGTTCAGATTGAAGGTCTTTTATTTTGCCATGTGTCCACCTAGACCAAAATCATTACAGCAGTAGAATATAGCATGATTTTCTATGCCTCTTTGTCTGTTCCTCTGCTCTTGTGTTTCAAGAATGCCAAGCAACTCATGTAGCTTGTACTTTGCTTTGCAACTCCTTAGGATGAGGAGGGACTGAGGTTATTGCTGAGTCCTGATGGTCTTTAGCATCTACAGCCTTGGACTCCATTTCTTTGGCTAATTTTCATCATCAGTCTTTCAGACTTTGATTTTACTGGCATCCTGACCAGGAATTGATTTGTCTTATTAATTATTTTTTTTAGTTGTGTGCTTTTCTTTGTTATTGTTGTTGTTTTTGAAGACGGAGTCTTTCTGTGTTGCCCAGGCTGGACTCAAACTCTTGAGCTCAGATGATCCTCCCACCTCAGCCTCCTAAGTATCTGGGACTACACATGTGCCGGTGTACCCAGCTTAACATCAATTTAATTTACTTCCTTCCACCAAATAAACTTTAGTGTTTATTCAGCTAACAGATTATGAAGCCTTCAGCAGTCCTTTTTGTAGCAGCATTCATTTTCTCTTCTTTTTTTTTTTTTTTTTTTGAGACAGCCTCGCTCTGTCACCCAGGCTGGAGTGCAGTGGCATGGTCTCAGCTCACTGCAACCTCCACCTCCCAGGTTCAAGCAATTCTCCTGCGTCAGCCTCCTGAGTAGCTGGGATTACAGGTGCTTACCACCATGCCTAGCTAATTTTTATATTTTTAGTAGAGATGGAGTTTCACCATATTGATCAGGCTGGTTTTGAACTCCTGATCACACACACACACCCTACACTCCTAGCTTAATATCCTATTATCACTTGGTATTATTCAAAGAATGAAAATCAAACTTTTTACCATGACCTCAGGCCTTATATGGTCTCTCCTCTACCTTCCTCATCCAGCCTTATCTTGTATAACTCTCCCTCCTTGCCCTCTGTATTCCAGCTTCTCAGCTTTCTCTTTCTTCTGCCATAGGTCCTTCGCATTGATGTCTTCTCTAAATGAAATACTATCCCCTACCAGTCCCCCTTCTCCTAGTCCATGCCTGCTTCAGCCTTCAACTATCAGCTTACATTTTTAGGGTGTATTTTCTGAACTCCTTTGTCAAGTCAGTCCTTTGCTATGTACTCTCAGAAAAGTTTGTTTCTCTCCCTCAGATCATTTATCTCACACTTTCATTAGAGCAATTATTTGATTATTGTTTTATCCCCCATAGACTATAAGCTTTAGCATTTGGAATACAATGATAAATATTGTCCTTACTGTTAAAAACTCGGAAGAGTTTATGACTTTAGTAAGGAAGACAAACCTGTGAGAGATGTAAGTACCTACCATGTGTGGGGGAGATCTTTGGAAGCTCAGTGAACCTTCCTTCCCCTCCCGTGTTGATATAACCAGGTGACAACCAACAATTCCAGCTTTCCCTTTCACTGTAGGCCTGGTCCTCCTGGCCCTGTGCTTACTCAGAACCTAAATGCTCCATGAAACCTCAGCAACTAAGGTTATCATTTTGTTTATAGAAGTGAGACACATTTTATGCAGTCTAGCATTGTAGGTTGCTGTGCCCCCAAAGGGGGAATACCAACAAACAGATTATTTAAAAGGGTTATATTTAGATTGAGAAATGGGATAAATTTCACCATTTGATAAATGAGAGAAGAGTGGCTTAAACAATAACCACTTCAATTTGAAAAATGTTGAATTATCTAAAAGGATCCAGAAAAGTAAAATTAATTCACAGCAATCTGTAGGATGAACTAGTAGAAGGAGTGGAAGTTGAAAAACTATTGGATAAAATCACAATATGAGAACTGTTTATACTTAAGGAACACATAGGTGGTTTCTTTAAAACTCCAGATGTTTTATGGTCTATGTTACCTATTTAAAGGCTTTGCCAGAGACGGCTTTGCTGGGAGTTGCTGGGCGGCTTTTGTGGGATCGGTGGCATCAGGGATCCGCTGCGGCGTGTCTTTGGCATGGCTCAGCCCCTGATGCGCCGCGCGGCAGGCACAGCTCACACTCCTGTTCCCTGGCTGGTCGGGGATCCAGACACCGCGTCGACGGCGGCTTCGCAGGACGCGCGGACCGAATCACAGTCCATGCCCCAAGCGGACTACATTATGAGGCATCTGCCTTCTGCCGCGGTCGAGTGGTGCATGGCTTCGGCCACGGCTCCAAGCAGCTGAGCATCCCCACAGCTAATTTTCCTGAGCAAGTGGTAGATAATCTTCCAGCTAATATATCCACTGTCATTTATTATGGTTGGGCCAGTGTTGGAAGTGGGGATGTCCATAAGATGGTGGTGAGCATAGGCTGGAACCTATATTACGAGAATATTAAGAAGTCCATGGAAAAACATACCATGCACACCTTCAAAGAGGACTTCTATGGGGAAATCCTCAATGTGGCCATTGTGGGCTACCTCAGACCAGAAAAGAACTTTGATTCTTTAGAGTCACTTATTTCAGCAATTCAAGGTGATATTGAGGAAGCTAAGAAACGACTAAATTTACCAGAACATTTGAAAATCAAAGAAGACAATTTCTTCCAGGTTTCCAAAAGCAAAACAATGAATAGCCACTGATGAAAAATTGTATTATTTATTCATTCACTGTTTTCTAGTGTTTCTGTGTTTATTACTGTCCAGCCTCATCTTGGTTATGTTTTAAAAATCAAACACTTTCCTACAGTTGTGAATTAAACAGTACAATGTAGTTACCATATCATGCTTCAGCTGTTAAATGAAGCCCATCATGTCATAGTACTAAAAAGATTCATTTAAAAATCAAGATTTAAAAAATACATATTGATTAAAATGTACGACTAGAAAGGTATTACTTGTGTATAAGTATGGGTAAAAAGGCAAGTCACTAGTTTGAGATGAAAAATGAAATTTTCATGGTAAAAATACCGGCATGTATGTACTTGTAGTGTATACTTCTAAACAAAGAAGGCTTACAAAAGTAAATGCATTAAGGCCAAGTGCAGTGGCTCTTGCCTGTAATCCCAGCACTTTGGGAGCCGAGGTGGGAGGATTGCTTGAGCTCAGGAGTTCAAGACCAGTCTGGGCAACATAGCGAGACCCCATCTCTATTAAAAAAAAAAAAAGGAAATGCATTATATAGAAAATTGATAGTTTATCATAAACCTACAGGGAAGAAACCCAGACTTTGTTTTTTTGATATTTTGTGCGTTAATACATTACAAACATGAAGATGTTTGTAAAATTTTGTTTTAGTCATTTTCTTTGAAGTCACATCATTGTACCATCTTCATTTTTGTATAGAGCTGCTTCAATTCTAAGTCCTCTGGACTTCCCCTATCTGTTTTTTGTTGTTGTTGAAGACAGTAAAATAAGTGTTTTCAAATCTTAAAAAAAAAAAAGGCTTTGAAACCTTATTGATAGTGTTTTTCATTGGAGAAGGAAGTACTAGTTTTTTCTCTTAATCAGACCTACTTCCTTCAGGTTCCTAAAAGGATAAAACTCTGATTCTCCCTTAATATCATAGCCATAAATTAAAACATGAGTACTAGCAAGGAAGCAAATAGATAACATATTTTAAGAAATTATGAAATTCACATATGACAGTGATTTTCATAATACAGAAAGAGTTCTTTAAATTTTAGGCTACATGTATGTCCCAGGTGATCTTTGTTCCCACACTACTGGAAATTTAGGCAGGAGTGAAAGTGATGGCAGCAGTTATTGCTTTTGTGGAGCTGGGCTGCTGATTTTGTAAGTTATAAGAAGGAATGTTGGCCAGGTGCGGTGGCTCACTCCTGTAATCTCAACAGTTTGGGAGGCCGAAGTGAGCAGATCACTTGAGGTCAGGACTTTGAGACCAGCCTGGCCAACATGGTGAAACCCCGTCTCAACTAAAAATACAAAAACTAGCTGAGTGTGGTAGTGTGCACCTGTAGTCCCAGCTACTAAGGTTCCTAAGGAGACTGAAGCACAAGAACTGCTTGAACCCAGGAGGTGGAGGTTGCAGTGAGCCGAGATCATACCACCGCATTCCAGCCTGGGTGACAAGAGCGAGACTTCCTATCAAAAAAAAAAAAGAAGGAATGTTGCCACTATCATGTCTGCTGCAAGGCTTGTGGGACACGTTGTTCTCCCAAGAGTCCATTCTTTATTGACAAATACTCCCTGTACCTTTCCTTTTTTGAGTTTTGGCCAGGGAGTTGGGGAAACATCTTTTTTGAGGACATTTTGTGCCCCCTCTGTAAATTCATGATGATCTAAAGTGGTAGTCTGCTTTTTCTTTAAAGAGCCAAGAATAAATATTTTTGGCATTGCAGACCGTAAGATCTTAACTCACAAGTACTCAGCTCCGTCTTGTAGGGCAAAAACAGCCATAGGCAATATGTAAACAAGTAAATATGGCAGGGTTCCAATAACACCTTATTTAAACAAACATGCAGTGGGCTGGATTCGGCCCACAGGACGTAGTTTGTGGACCCCTAATTGGCAAGTTTGGGAGCCAGTAGTGTTCTCTTTAGCATGAATTAGCACATATGCAGTTGGCAAATAGGAGAATGATAGCAGTATAATGTAGAAATTCTGTTTATTAATATGTGATTTTTTTTTCCTTAGGTAAGAGGTGTTGGAAGAGTAGAAATAGAATTATAATTATCAACAAGAAAAAGCTTTTAGCTCAGCTGTTGCATATGTGGGAGTCTTTTCAGCTCTATTAAAATGAAGACTGAGAATGTACATACGTGTGCCTTCTTTTGTATATCCCCCAGCCTTGGCCTTGCGTGGCTCTCAGCTCATCACAGGTTGCATTTCCTCCTGTGCTCACCTTGATGGCAGCCCCCCTGGCTCAGAGCTCCACTGCATCTACATTATCTCAGCACCTTTAACCAGATATTTCCATTCCATTTTTTTCCAGTGTTTTGCCTCCGCCAGTTAATTGCTTTTATTACAGCTCTGGTTACAAAGTCTTATAGGTTTTGTATTTGCCCCAAACCTGTTATTGTCAGTATAAGATCTGATTAATGTGAGGTTTTTCAGGAATTAATTCATCATGTAGAAAAATGTCTACAATTCTTTGTAAGGTTATAATGAGGTGACCATTATATATTTAATAAATAGCTAATGAGCACCTGCCGTATACCAGGCACTATTTTATGTATATAGGATATATTATATATGGTCATATAATTTATCATCTAAATTAGAATACCTTTTTTTTCTTTTTTATTTTAGAGAATCCTTACCCTGATTTTACAGCCAACTTTCTTTTTTTTTTTTTGAGACAAAGTCTCACTCTGTCACCTGGGCTGGAGTGCAGTGGTACAAATACAACTCACTGTAGCCCCAGCCTCCTGGGCTCAAGTGATCCTCCCATCTCAGCCTCCTTGGTAGCTAGGACCACAAGTGCGTGCCACCACACCTGACTAATTTTTCATAGAGATGGGGTCTCACGATGTTGCTGGTCTTGAACTTCTGGTCTGAAGCATTCATCCCACCTTGGTCTCCCAAAGTGCTGGGATTACAAACGTGAGTCACCATGCCCAGCCTAAATTAGGACACTTCTGAAAATGAAAGAGAATGCTATTAATTATGCTGGAACAACAGATGTAAAGGAACTAGGACAGACTTGCGATTACCCCTGTATGGTGTTGGGGGAGGCAGGCAAGAAAGTGAGTGAGTGAATGATTACATGGAATGTGCTCTGCAGAAATAGCAAGATGTTACGATAAAAGTTACCTAACCTTGGATAAGATGGTTGGTGGAGGCCTTTTCGGGCGTGTGACACTTAAGAGTACATGAAAACTGAGAAGCTAGCTATGCGAAGAGTGCAGAGAACTGTTCTAGGCAGAGGAAATCACATGAGCAAAGGCCTTGAGGTGAGAAGCAGCCTTGTGTGCCTAAGAAACTTAAAAAAAAACAAAACAGCCAAAAAAAAAAAAAAAAAACCCACTGGGTCTGAATCCTTGTTATTGAAGGAGAAAAATAGCATGAATAGCATGAGATGAGAGATTAAAGAGATAGACAAGGCTAAATATGGGCAGTCCAATATTGATAGCTACAGACTGTATGTTGCTGTTGGGCACTGAAAATGTGGCTAGTTAAAACTGACATGTGCTGTAAGTATAAAATGCATATTAAATTTTGAAGATTTGGTATCCTCCAAAAGAATATAAAATATCTCAAAAATTTTTATATTGGCCAGACTCAGTGGCTCACACCTGTAATCCCAGCACTTTGGAAGGCTGAGGCCAGGAGGATTGCTTGAGCCCAGGAGTTTGAGACCAGCCTGGACAATATAGTGACACCCTGTCTCTACAAAAAAATTTAAAATGAAAAGAATTAGCCAAGCATGGTGGCATACTCCTGTAGTCCCAGCTACTTGGGAGGCTGATGTGAGAGGATCACTTAAGCCCAGTAGGTCGATGCTGTAGTGAGCTGTGATCTCACCACTGCATTCCAGCCTGGGCAACAGAGGGAGACCCTGTCTCAAAAAATAATTTTTACATTAATTACATGTTGAAATAACACATTGGATGTATTAAGTGAAATAAATTATAATTAATTTCATCTGTTTCTTACTGTGGCCTCTAGAAAAATTTAAATTGCATGTGTGGCTCCTACTGTATTTCTGTTGAACAGCACTTGGCTAGGTAGATAATTTGAGGCCTTGTAGAGCCTGTTAAGAAGTTTGGCTTTTAATTCTAAAATAGTGGCAAGCAATGGACCTGTTTTAAGCAGAGGATTGATATGAACCTGATGTCCTTTTCCAGAACAGTATTCTTTCTATTTAGAATGTCTTAACAAGTTTGGTATATTAATAGTTTCCTTCCTTTGATGGGAACCCTCATGACCTGTGTTCTCTTTCCCTTTTACACCTGACTCCTAGAGGCAAGCTAGAGCATCTGGTAGCTCCCAGTGATTACTTCCTTTTTGGTAGGATGTTTGTTCCCTGTGACCAGCAAACCTTCCTGGTTAAAATAGACATAGAAAGCTGACCTAGGCTGAGTGTGGTGGCTCATGCCTGTAGTAATCCCAGCACTTTGGGAGGCCAAGGCAGGTGGATCAGGAGGTCAGGATATCAAGATCATCCTGGCAAATGTGGTGAAATCCTGTCTCTACTGAAAATACAAAAGTTAGCTGGGTATGGTTCCACGCGCCTGTAATCCCAGCTACTTGGGAGGCAGAGGCAGGAGAATCACTTGAACCCGGGAGGCAGAGTTTGCAGTGAGCCAAGATCACGCCACTGCACTCCAGCCTGGCGACAGATCAAGACTTCGTCTCAAAAAGAAAGAAAGAAAGCTCACCAATATCAGTGACAGGACAGATGAGACTGCCATGCATCATTAACTTTCTGCTTTACCATCTGACCCTGTGAATCAGAACCCTTCAATATAGAAGGACTTCAGTGAGTGCAGCCTTTCAGCTCAGCAGCCACAGACTAGTTATATTTTAACTCTCCACAAGGTGGTGCTTTCTTATTATAACAATAGTCAAAATTTTGGATTAAGTGCAGGAAGCATTCTGTAGCTTGTTTCAGACACCTTTTTTGTCATTGGACCAAGTAAGATTTAAGTTGCCTCTAAGCTTAGAGTCTACTTAATTGGAACACTTCTAGTAACATTACCTACGAGGGTGTTGTGAAGCTCCAATAAGATAAAAATTTAAAATCCTATACATAGCTGGACATGCTGGTATGTGCCTATGGTCCCAGCTACTCAGGAGGCTGAGGCAGGAGGATCCCTTGGGCCCAGGAATTTAAGGCAATGGTGAGCTATATGATTGTGCCTCTGCACTCCGGCCTGGGTG